TTTGAAATTGAGATAAGCACATTTGCGAACAATCGCTGGTAGCTTTGTTTACCTAGACGAGATCATACACAGCGTATTATTAGCTAATGCAGTGCGTACCTGGTCTACTATTGGCTAATTCAGCATGCTCTTCTGTTCCTCCCGCTGATTGGCTTATGCATCGTCGCATCTCTCAGCTTCAGCCACTCTCTCGTTCACTTTGCTCTGCGTCGCATACCACTCTTCTGTGCATATAATTGTGTGGGAAAGAATAATACAGTCTTCGGAGGTTTGATAACAGTGCGGGGGAGGTTTGTAAATGGTAAATATATACGTTAATAATATAAAAACTATCTCACCTCTACGTTTCGTGGTGGGTCTGCGGTCGCAAATACCACGATAGGAGAGGGATTATTATAAATATATATTTTTATATATATATCTTTCTTGCTGATCCTACTTCATGTTACGGTATCTTTAACAGTGATATTAAGTTGCAGGGAAGTATGTGAACAGTTTGTACCGTCATGGCGTATGACTTTTCAAAGTATGTTTGTTCAAAGCTCAAGTGACTTATCTTCATTTTTACACCACTCAGCACATTTTAAATTGTTTCTGAGCTATATTTAAAGCGCTATTATTATCCAGCAGCCTCATGTGCACACGCTCAGTGATTCACTGGCCATGTGGCCATCACATGGCCCTGGTAAACACTGACGTTGTTTTAATATCAAAGATGTAATGTGAAAAGAAAAACGATTGCAACATAGTTCCTCCTCAGAGGAAACTCTAAACCACAGACACTGCAGACCGGCACATATTGTACTGCTGATGCACCCATGCAGCCCAGTGTGCACACTGAGAGCTCATTCTGCAAGTGGCCTATAAAATATGAATGATAACGGGCTATATTTTTATCAGCCAGCCCCAGGACATGTATGAACTGGAGCAGCAAAAACAGCTCGTCTCGTTGTGTGTGCGGTGGAAGAAAGAGAAGAAAACTGTTAGTCACCCATGCATGCCGACGTCGTTTGTCTTTTTGTGCTTACTTTTCCGATGAGTACGGTTCAAAAGAAAAATGATTAGACCCTTAAGCAAATGTATTTCCTTGTAAGTATTTCCCACAAGATTTTTCTTTCAAAGACCATTTCCGAATATTTTTAATTACAACGTACAATGATTTCTTGCATATACGTAGAAACTTGATGCATTCATGAAAGTGAAAAAAAAAAATCTCAGTTGTTTTGCCCAATAACAGAATAGTCAAAAGTTGTTGTTCTTTTTTTTACGTACCCTTAATTGTCTTGTCAGCAGCAGCTGCAGAGCAATTTATTAAGTTCACTTTTTATAGATAGTTTTTCCACCAATTTTAATTGTATTTGTATTTGCGTTCTGCCAAATTATTGTTGTGTTTAAATGCAAAACAACAATCGTGATATTTGTTTGCAAATTGTAGCATATTTAAAAAAAAATTTTGTATCATTTTCATAGTGCTTCCTACGCTCATAAAGTGACTTCCTCTTTAGTCGTTACATTAACTGTGTGATTTACCGTAGGGACGGTGTTCTCTGGGTACTATGCCTCTCCCTTCCTTCTTCAAACATAGGTGAAAATGACAACTACAAGTACAGCTGTAGTTTTGTATCATCTGATGAAGTATTATGTGTCCAGTATGTGTCTTATTGAAAGGTTTCTCCTTTGCAGAGAATGACTCTAATGACCGACCGTTTCAGCTTTGATCTTCACATTGGTCCTTTGTTATTTTCTACCTGATCTGGTGTTTCTCACCATTTATTTTCACCATTTAAATCTTTTGAAACCTCTTAAAAAATACTTCTTTCTCTGGTCTGCAACCTACCTTAAAATGTTGAACTTTTAAAAGTGGACCTAACCTTCTATTTTGATCTTGAAGAGCACGTACAAGTGCTAACAAGCTATTATACCATTCAGATAACTGGTGGCTAATTCAGCTAACGTTTCTTAACTAGAAAATCCTTAACAGCGTTATGTACTTGTTGTGGGAGGTAGTGTACCCAAAGCTAGCACTTCCTGTGTTATCAACAAATGATACTTTAATACGGACGCTGATACTTCCTATTTGTGTAATCAGATCTATGGGTAGATTTGTGTTCAAGTGGTATGAAAATTAACTGCGTCACTGTTTATCGTCAAATGTTGTATGGGTTAATAGTTACCAAAAATACACACATGCAAACAAACAAAAGTACAAAATGTATAAACATGAAATGTTGGACGTTGCATGAAATGCTCGTTGTACTAATTATAAATTAAAATACTTACAACATCTACATGACAGTAGCTGATTCACAGCTTTTTTTTTTACATAACTAAAGCTAAATATTAAAAAAAAAACCATGAACCTCAACGTCAGTCTGTTAAAAAAAAAAAAAAACCATGAACCTCAACGTAAATCTGTTCAAATATTCAGCCGTTTCTCAGATCTCAAACTAAAGGCGGAGATGTTAAAGACATCCTCAAAAACACCACAGAGAAGGCATTGTCATATGGGAACACTTTCACATCCTGAGGATTTTCATTCACCTCACTCCCAAATGCACTCTTGCTACCGTGCACACATGCATATGCACGTGCACCAATGCAGCTAGGAAGTGCACCTGCAGAAGCCAAAGATAAATCAGCTCTAACATTTTGCCCTGCTTGCAAAAAAGCTGCCGTCTGCACTTGTTATATATATAATGGCTGTTTCTCTGACTGGCTCTTTTCGTCACGTACACATGCGTTCAGTTCCACGTCGCTTTTCATTTTGTGCCCACTCATAGTTGTTAGAACATTTGAACACTAGCCGATGTGTAGGAGTGTTCTTTGGCATTGTGTGTGTGTGCGTGTGTGTGTGTGTGTGGTTATGAGTGGTTATGAGTGAGTGAGTGAGTGTGAGCGAGCGAGACAGCAGGAGGACGTACTTGAGACAGAGTGTGAGAGGACGAGTTTGTCACTGCGCGTGTTACTGTAAGACCGTGTGTGTTTGTGTGTGCGCAGCTCTCGACAAAGGAAGAGTGGGTAAAAAAAGACAGGAAAAGGAAAATGTTAAAAACACACACACACACACTGGGCCCTGTTGTCAGAAACAGCTGACAGGTTGACAGGCGTGCTGAGAAAAGCTGGTGGGACAGAGAGATGAGAGGAGACAAGGAGACAAGGAGACATTGTTAACTTTACCAGCTCTTCACAGTTCAAAAGTCTTCGATGGTTCATTTCAGATTGGCCGTGATTCTTTGTCATTTCCTCCTTCCTGTGTATGTGCGTGTGCTTGTGTTGCCTTGCAAAGTTGTGGCAGCAAAGTTAACAGAAAGTTCACACGTGGCAAAAAAAAAAAAAAAAAAAAAGAGAAGTTGCAGAAACAGAGAAATTGAAAAACACAACTCTGCACACAATGAGAAGAATTAAAAGACGCATGTGAGGAAATCAGAAGACAATGGGCCTCCGTCCCACAGCCTTGATTTATGACACGGTCAGAAAATGAGGAAACTTATGATGTTTGTTAATAAATTGCCAAATTTGAAACCTTTCCAGGAAATATGGTGCAGATGTCCTTGGACAAAATGTATATTTATTAAATCTGGCATGTCCAAAGTGAGGACAGGGGTCCAATCATGACACATTAAAGATAGACTGTCTGTAGCTTCTAGACTATTCTGTTAGTACTGGATTCTGAAAGACATTTTATTTTGAAAAATAAATGGATTAACTGAAATGAAGAAAAGTAAATTCGAAAAATACTGTATCCTTCTCTAGATTAATTAAATGATTCATTCTGTCTCTGTGGTCTGGTACCAATTGATCCAAGGACCTGTACAGGAAACCCCTGCTCTACACAGTATCTTATGACCTGGTAGATTACAGCTATTATTCTCACCAGGATTCATGACCTTGGATCATATAAAAAAAAAAACCGCCGTTGACATCAAGCTCACATTCACACCTACAGTCAACTTAGATTCACTAATTATCCAAGTCCTTCATGTTCTTGGACTGTGGGGTTCATTGAAGGATCTGGTGAAAACCCACCTCTTTATACAGATCAAACATGGGATCAAACAACTCAAGTGGTGACCTTCCTGCTGGGAAGCAACAGCACTAACCACTCTCTCACCGTGTGACCAAGTGATACTTCCAAAATAAGAAACCTAAATATTTCTTGACTTTTATAGTACCTAGTACTCGTGCATATCATCTGTTGAAAGACTCCTGGTGTTTCTGGGCCAGTCGGAATCAGCGCAGCCTCAGAATAAAGCACTTGTTCTGGACTCTGTCAGGAATGACTGAGTGTGAGTGAGAAGGAATGTGCAGATAAAAGGGTGAGAGACACAGGCAGCCTTCAGCTGGACGGAGAACGAGAGAGAGAGAGAAGGAAGAAGAGGATGAATACCAGCCATTGTTGTAGTGATACACAGCAGAGAGACACAGTGTGTGTGTGTGTGTGTGTGTGTGTCCAGAGGTCAGTGGGTTTTATGGATGTGGTTCCAAACAGCTCTTTGACAGACATGTCTTGGCAGCCTAGCAACTGTGGGCTTTAATTATGAGTGAGTCAGGAGTGGACGCAAACATTAAACAATCAGATGATGTCTCTCACACCGGTGGAGTGACACCTCAGGACCTCAGCGGCAGGACGGGAGGTCGCCACTCAGATTGCCAGATTAAAGTACCTTCAGCTACGAGTCCTGCATCTGACTCAAATACGGTCGGGTCACATTTAAAACAACGATTATGAATCAATGAGCAAAAAAGACTTCCTACTGTCTGAGTTTTGACTGGCAGCTCCAGAAAAAAAAAAAAAATTGCAAACAAGAAAAAAAAACGCACAATGTAGACAAATACACTGGAATATTTTTAAAAGCCAGTACCTCAGCACAACAACAACATTGGTTTACATGTAATAGGATTCTGTCAAATACTTACTCAAAGACATTTTCTCTGTATCATGTGTTTTAATTATGGTAATTATATTCTTTCTAATGTGATTTTTTTTTCTCTCTTTCCAGGATCCTGCTGGGATCTTTGAGTTGGTGGAACTGGTAGGAAATGGCACCTATGGACAAGTCTATAAGGTAAGAACGGACACTTCCTGTTTGTACTGGCCGAGGTCCTGTGTGGACGATAAAAATATTGACACTGTGAGTTGTCGGTAAACACAGGGGATCAAAAATAAAAGAAACCCCAGGTTCGAGAGACGTACAGATGACGAGGTGTTCTTACTCTAATATTGTTTTCTCCTTCTCTACTTTAACTCTGTCCAAGTTCTGGTATGTGGGCCAATTCTTGCACCTGAACAAGTTTAAGTTGGCCTCCAAATTATTATTCTTATGCTACCATTTTTCATTAGCTGTATTTGTTTCTTTTTATCCTGACCTTTAGCTGACCTGGAGCTGAATTCTGCTCCAAGTAACTGCATGAACTTACGTTTAGTCATTTATTACCACATTTAGTTTAATTTCTTGTTTGTTTGTTTTTTTGTCCAATTACTGCAGATATGTCGATTTATTTCTATTATTTTAGCATGTCAATCTTGCCAATGCTAAATTGGAGGCTAAACTGTTTTTTTAATTATAAATTAAATAATTATTAATTAAAAAAAATAAAAAACTGGACCGCAATCATCCTGAAGCAGGTTTTGAAATCATAGACTTAAATAAAACAAAATTCATTTTTGTTCTAGCGAAGTTTCATTAGCGTAAGAGGAAGTGCTCCTCTCGGAAGTGCCTCTTCCCAGATGTAACGTTGTAACATCACTGCGGTCTGAGGTTCTTTGCCGTCAGCTGGTCTCAGCTGCTGTCATTTAAACACTACGTGGTCCACTATCTCTGGGTCCGTGCCGCCTGAACTTCCTCTCACCTCTGTCACCATCATTGACGTTCACTTGTCCTTATTTCCTTTTCCCTTATCAGCTTCACGCTGCAATATTTCAGGATGTGGCTTTTAGTTCAGTCACCTGTGTGTGTGGAGATGAGAGCGGAGACTTGTTAGAACCACTACCATATGTGTGCCTACATTGTGCATGGGACAGTGCATCTAATGCATCTGTGAGGTCAGATGTTGGTGAAGATGGTCTGATCAGGCAGCTGATTGGACCAGAGGACTGAGGTCAGACGGAGGTCAGACGTGCTTCTCGGAGCTTTTGATGTCCTCACGTTCGTGGGTCTGCGTTCGTGTACGCGCGAATGAAAGGAACGCAGAGTGGATAGAGACGGGGAGCGTTGTGTGAGAATCCATTTCTTGCTGACTCTGCTGTCTTGGCCAAAGTCACGGCTCATTTGCTGCCTGAAATTCAGCCACTGTGTCCCTGTACGGTACTGAGCTGCACATCGCCTGTGGCTACGGCACAGACGGTTGGCTCGGGGTCACGTGGCTGAAACACAATGGATTTTGAATTGTTTTTCAAAGTCTGAAATAATAGAGCCCAAAGTGAAATGTATTCTCTTACTAGAGCAGGACTCGAAAAGGATTTTACTCCAGGTTTGCAAAGTTGTTGGTAGAGAAACATCCTTGAAATATGTGACGCTGACTTGAATGCGTATAACAGTATCGATTAATGCTAATGCTAATTAAAGCATTTGTTTAGTTACCTTACTGGATGTAGCTTCATTAAATCAGTAATATATTGTAACGTACATTAATTCAAACAATATCCAGTAATGAGTGACGTATGAAAATGTATGAGAGTAAACCATAAACACAACAAACTACAAAGCAGTAAAACAAACATTATTAAAAGTTGCACCATAAATAGATAAACGTTAGTCAAGTGAGACATGGTGATATATGATAACACTATTGTATAAAACAAACTAAAAACAGCAGAAATAGCCATAAAGTGCTGTACAAAAAACCTTTATATAAATAGAAGTTAACCACCAATGATAAAGTTAGCAAGAACCTGCTAAAATACCTGAGGGAAAAGTATTACTATAAATATTACTATAAATAGTTGAGTTTACAGTACTGAAATACACACAAAAAATGGATAACTATACTGTAGCTAGAAGATAGCGACATTAGAACCTAGCAAAGTCTTGCCAAAAGTATTTACAATTCTACCCATAATGCAATGGAAACAACACCACTGTCCAGTCAACCAAAATGTATCCTCCCTAAATATTTGCTAGAAAAGAAGTGAATTAAAACGGAATGAAACAAACTTCTCTTGGAAAATGTAAATAAATGTTATAAAATTATAATAAAGATTTCAGTTATCATGTGGGAGAAATCCATTTGTTTTTTTCCCCAACACTGTTCATACAAACAGGTATTTCAGTAACCTTGGGCCAAAGGTACATAAGATAGAATTCCTTTACTCTGCGTTATTTTAAAACCCTAAAAAATGTTACAACCACTCAAAATGATTTGTGAGATGGAAATGTGCATTTTTATTTTCTGCGACCAAAACTATATCAAAAGGCTGGAATACTGTTAAAAATGGTCCACTCATCACTTTGAATGAAACCGCATTGTGTGGGAAAAATCACACTCATACATACTGATGAGCCGCAGAGTCACTTTTAAAGATGTCTCCTGGTGGTTGGGGTCCTGCATCTCTGCCTGACACCTGAACAACCTCAGCTTCACATAAACAGTTGAGTCTCCAAAATCACTGATGTGATAAATTGACCTTCAGCCCGACTGCTGTCACTGAACCGGAATTTCTTGGAGTCTCAGTGAGCCGTCTAAAGCCAATAGTAGAAAAATAAAAAAATAACACTAAAGAATAACAGGCTTTCAGACTGGATGTTCAGTCTGAATCAATGAAACCCTGTCAGTGCTGCTGCTGGAGTCTGATAGTGTGATGTTCTGCTCAGAAATAAAGGTTAAAGGCATCAGACAGGCTGTAAAAAGGTTTTTTTTTTTTTTTTTTTTTTTGCTTCGTGTTTCGATTCCAGAAAATAATTTAAAGTTTGCTCAGTGGCCTGGGGCCAGATCTGCACCGATGTTTTTGCAATTATACAGTAGAGGGAGCGTTAACAGTGTTCACTTTGATGGTTTTCTTCTCCAACATTGGCTGAAACAGAAAAAAAAACAAACAAATTCGATACAAATTACAGAAACGTCATTATTTTTCTTCTTTTTTTTAAACTGAATCTTAAGGTTCATTTAATCCTGTATGTCACTGTGTGTCATTTAATTAATTTTGACTAAATTCGTTATTTGACTAAACTTAGTCTCTGTCTCGATTTAGTCTGTCTCAAGTCCAAAAAAACGTGTTAAACGTGTTGACGTTTTGTTAAATGTTGACATAAGTGGTGATACAGTAAATTTCATAGCTTAGCCACGTTAGCTAATACAGTATTCTAATACTGTGGTCTGTTTACCTTGGTGCGTGGTTCTCAACGTGGTGTGACCTACTGCACCGACCGTCTGTGTTTCACACGACTGCATAAACTGAACAAAGTATCCCGGCTCCTGTCTTCATACTGTATTGGTTTTATTTAGAAATCTCTAACTGATTTACAGTAGTGTGTACACCCCACAAGGAAATCATAGTAATAATTGAGTCCCTTATCGTCCCACAAATTCACAGAGTCTTTGCAGCCAACACATGCTGCCACAGGAGGTGCCATTAGGGATATGTGGGTAAGCTGGGAATTAAACCCAGACCCCTCTTTGCTCTCTGATTGCAAGGCGATTGTGCTAACCACGACACTAAAACAAAATAAAATAAATATACAGAATATATTATTGTTTAATAGATAATGTTGAAAAACATGGCTATGCAGTTTATGGCTTTCTTTTGTTTTATGCAAGTAAATTTCTACATTATCAAAGTTGTATATTATATTATGCACATATACATATCTGCATATATATGTATATATATGTATGTGTATATATATATATATGCTGCATGTGTGGTCAGCACAGTGTTACTGGACCAGATAATAATAATAGAAGGCTCATAATGCATCAGACACATATACACGTACTGTAAACTGCTGCAGTGGAGATGATGTGATGCATGTACAGAATGTGGTCCCCAGAATTTGATAAATACAAGTGTGTGTGTGTGTGTGTGTGTGCCTGTGTGTGTCTGGGAGGAAGAGATAACTCGGTTCCTCCAGTACTTCTCCACCTCATCTACTTAAATGATAAAGATCGGATGCTGCTCTCCTCTTCCCCTCATCACATCTCCATCTTTTAACGCCTCCCCTCATTTAAAACCAACCTGTCGTTGAAAGGTGTTGTTTTCCCTGTCGGCGATAAAAAAAAAACAAAACGAAAAAAACGGAGTTTGTCAGAGAGGAGTGATAGATGAGGAGCCGCAGTGAAAAGATCATTTCAGCCTGTCTTTCTCCTCTCACATCTCTTCGTCTGTTGTACTGTTTTTTTTTACCGTTCTTTTAACATCTTTTCCCCCCAGATCATCATGTACTCCACTTCCACCTCTTTCATCGTCCTATCAATATATAATCACGTTTTTCTTCTCCCTTTCACTGGTCTTTTGGGTTGACGCTTCCCCAGTGAGTTGGACTTCAGTGGAGCGGGGGGGGGGGGGGGGGGGGGCTACAGTGCCTACAGTACGAGTGTGTATATATAGCAATCTGCTGGCTGCTCTAAAAGCACCATAAATAGAGAACACGGTATTGCTGAATAATTAAACACCACATTCTCTCCTCATGTCTGTCTCCCCCCCCCATCCTCTCCAGCTTCCCTCCTCTGTCTTTGAAGGCCACTTTATATTATCTCTCCTCCGTTTTTACTTTCCTTTGTTATTTTGTCGGTTTATTTTGCCACGTGCCTGTCATTTTCTGCCCCTCTTATCTGCCCTTAACTGTTCCTTTTATGGTATCACACAGTGGATAAAAAAAGAATCACTCTAAAAATGACACTGAAAAGATATGTAAATTCAGGACTTTGTCCCGCTGTAATGAACGCTAGAGTCTGGTTCTTTAAGAAACAAACGGAAGTCTTTAATCACATTTACATGGATGAATTCAGCAGCAGACCATTGTCTCCCCAAATGACAAGTGGAGGGTTAACAGTTTTTTTTTACTAATTAACACTTTGAAAACCAAGCATGTGGACGAGGACCTCTGTCTTTCTTTCTTTACGAAGCCTG